GATTTATTGTAGAGATGAGGTCTCGCTGCCTAGGCGGGTCTCGAACCCGTGGGCTCAGGCAATCCACTCACCTCAGCCTCCCAAAGGTATGGGATTACAGGCTGAGCCACCGAGCCTGGCTGCAAGTCTGTTTTTAAATGATCTCCAAAGACAGGAGGAAGAAAAGCCAGATACATTTCCATTCTTCCCAGAGGATTGGGATTCCAGCACTACTTACCTCTCGAGCCAACATCTCTGTCTCTAATAACTGGTGCTTCTTTAGCAGGTTTCCTGCCGAAGCCAAGTCCCTGGCTTGATCTTTCATGGCCAGCAGTGTCTCTGCCTAAGAATGGAGAAATAAGCAATAAAGCTGCCAGTAAAAACTGCCTTTAAAAGAAGATTCACAGGTATGATCCCAAAATTTTGCCAAGAAGCTTCAAGAAAATTTTTCACATATAGATTCATATATCTGACAAGTATTTATGAAACTCTCATGCCTCCACCATTCCCAGGTACAATTACCTCTGAGAGCCAGAACTCAAAATCCCGGATGCCTGTGTTAAACCTCTGTTGGCGACTAGCCTCGTTGAGCTTCTGCCCTTTGTCAGTTGTTCTCTCAAGCAAATAATCCCAATGTTTCTTCAGCTCTTCCCATTGCCCCTACTACAAAGAAGGTGAGGAATCATTATGCTTCTTAGGATCCTGAGCCCTCTAACTACTTTAGAAGGTAATGCAGGGGGGTTCTGGGCACAGGGACTAGCCACATGTTGCTGCTACTTGAATGCCGTATGTTTCATACCAGTTATACTTAATATGGGAAGACAACAGAACGTGTCAGACTACAGGAAAAGTTTGAAAAAGGGGTTCTGGGATAATTACAGGGACTGACATCCAAATACCAGCGGACTCTTGGCAGAGAGAATAGAAAATGTGAAATAAACATGATAAGACTTAGGAATTACATCTAAAACTTTCCTGTAGTATCAAGCACTGAGTATGATGGGAGTAGAAAGGTCTGAGCATCCCTGCTTTCTTCCTTCTTTGTGCAGCTATCAGAAGGAGGACTTTTCACCACAGAATGAATTCTATATCCCAATACAAGAAAAACTGAATGAGGTAAAATTCCTCTTCATGTGTCTTCATGTGTAACCCCAAATTCCTCCCAAGCCTTACCTTCATGGTCTCTTCATTGCCATCACAGGCCTTCCGCTCAATCAGGGAGTTCCCCAGGTTGATGACTCCTTCTACTTGCTCAGCTCAACCATAGACCTCATTTTCAAAGGTCTGGTGTTTCAGGTATTTTCTCTGAAGGAAAAGCAGAAATTAGATTGCCATCTTATTCAGGGAAGCAAGACAAGGTAAATTATGCTTAAAGGGATGAGATACTATTTCTACTATAACAGAGGTGTTGGTGACTTCTAAAGGACCTGCTTCAAAAGTCTCTAAGGGCAGGCTCAGTAACCACGACAATAACGCAGTATTAAAGTACAAAGGGGGATGAACATTCAACCAGCAATCTGGGAATGGTGAAATTTCCCCAGATTTCTATTTTGAACTTGCCTGAATATTGGTGGGGTCTTTGTAGGATTCATCACAGGCTATGGGTAGCATCTCGCCGATCCATTCTTCTAACTCCTCAAGGTCATGGTAGAATTGTTTTAGGTCAGCATAGTCTCCAAGCTTTGTCCACTCAGCAATCAGTTGTTCTTTGAGAGCCTTCCATCTAAAGGAAGGAGTCAGATCACTCTCTACCTTCCACCCTTCCCCCATGCTCTAATACCATATTCACAAATCTTCCCATTTACCAGCATGCCCCTTTTCCTCTCACACAATCTTATTGCTTTCAGATATAAAATCAGGTGGTTAAGCCAGGTAATTTCTAAGGAACCCTCCATGTCTTTTATTCTATAAGTCTCAATCAGAGAGTCTGTCAAGGTGTTAAAATAGTTTTAGGCATCAAGAAAGCACAAGAACTCAGAGTATCTCTACCCTCCATCTCAATGTTAGCAGAAAGATTACTTTGCTGTATTTTCCTGGACCTCATGCAGCAATCACTCAGGCCTGACCTGTCTAGCACGCGTTGGAGCCGAGCAGCAATCTCCTCCTTGGCATAGTGGTCATCATCTATGAGTCGCTCAGCAAAATGTTCTAGATTAGTGATCTTTCCTTCCTAAATAAAAGAAAAAAAAATACCCCAGATGCTTGGAGATTAGGTCCTTAGTCAACCCCAGACTCTCTCCTAGAAAAGAAAAGAGATATATTTTGTGGATTCAGAGGACACACCCAGGATCAAATAGTAAATGGCCTGTGGGGACGTAGATTTCAATTCAACAAGAGAAGAAACAACTTAATAATTATCCTGAAGATGGCCAGCTTATGTGGTACTATATTCCAGTAAGAACAGACACCTCCTATGGCCATAGTAAAGGGCAAATCTTGTGTTGGATAAAATATTACAATAGACAGTATATAAAGTCACTTTCAATCCTAAAAGTTAGGTTTTAGAATGCTGGACTTAATGTAAGAAAGTCTGTTTGCCACCTGTGACTTTAAAAAACAATGACAAATATCAAGCTGCTTTGCCTGCCTCACAGTGTCTGTAAGAAGCAAATGTGAATAAAAAACCTTATAAATCATAAAACCAAACAAATGAGTAGGGTTTCTGTTATTATTACTAATAGCTGTTTTTGGAAATCTTTTATTAGTTGTTCTTACCTGAGCAGTGATTGCTTTGTCCAGATCATCACGTTTCTTCATCAAGGCCTCCAGACTGTCTAAGGAACCCTTGTCATCAGACCTCAGGAAATTCTCACGTGCCACCATCCAGCTTTCAATCTGATCACAGTTTCCTTGGAACAACTATGGGGAATAAAATTAGAGACATATGTATATTTATTCCAGAGCGACAGAGGAAATGATCTTACCCCTTCCCCATGATAATGATACAACAGTTGTTGCAAGGGGTATTTACAGTCTTCCAAGAAACACTCCTAACAAGTAGTGAGCATACTGGACCTTTTTCTCTTCCCCAAACACACACTTTACGTTTATATACAAGCTATCCTCAATTCTTGGGGTGCTATTTCCCATTTCTTACACTTGGTTAATACTGGTTGGTTATTTCTTTGTGACTCTGTTAAACACTATCCTTCAGAGTGGGTTCTGATACTCCTCTGCCCTTCCCTCAAAAGCTTTATTTATTTTTAGTTTTAGTTTTTTGAATCAGAGTCTTACTCTGTTACCCAGGCTGTAGTGCAGTGGCATGCTCATGGCCACCACAGCCTTGACCTGCTGGGTTCTACATCAGTCTTCCAAGTATCTGGAATCACAGGCATGCACCACCACACCTGGCTAATTTTTTGATTTACTTGTAGAGGCTGGTTTTAAATCCCTGGGCTCAGGCAATCCTCTTGCCTCTGCCTCCCAAAGTGTTGGGATTACAGGCATGAGCCACTACACCCGGCTCCCTCTCAAAAGCTTTAATCACGTCTTCCTCTTTAGCCTCAAAGCACTCATACATTTTGTTTGATTAATGATCATCTCACTGTACTAGAAAGATGTGTCTATATGCCTAACTTTACTACTTAAGGAAAGGAACAATATTTGTGGCATCAGGGCCTACAAGCTAGATTCTCCAAAAGGAATCACTCACTCTCCCAATCAATCAATAAATGATAATCACCACACTTTATGTCCAAGACTGACCACCTTCTTGTTTGGCTCTTCTAACAGGGATAAGAGCAGAGAATATGACAATGATCAGTCTACAAAGCAGAGTATAATGCCAGATAATCAAGTTGGCAGGGATGAACAACCTCTGTGGAAATCAGTATGGATATTTCTCAAAGAACTAAAAGTAGAGCTACCATTTCATCCAGGAATCCCACTACTTGGTATCTACCCAAAGGAAGAGAAATTGTTATGCAAAAAAGACACCTGCACTCGCATGTTTGACAATTGACAATTGCAAAGATATAGAATCAACCTAAATGCCCATTAACAAATCGGTAGTAATGAAAATGTGGTATATATACCACAGAATATAATTTGCCATAAAAAGAATAAATAATGTATTTTGCAGCAACTTGGATGGAAATGGAGATGATTATCCTAAGTGAGGTAACACAGGAATGGAAAACCAAACACTGCATGTTCTTACTTACACAGGTGGGAGTTAATCTAAGGGTTTGCAAAGGCATATAGAATGGTATAACAGACACTGCAGTCTCAGAATGGGGAGACGGGAGGAGGGAGAGAGATAAAATGTCACCTATTGGATACAATGTGCATTAATGGGAGTGACAGGTACACTTACAGCCCAGACTTCACTATACAAAGCTGCCGTGTAACCAGAAATCATTTGCACCCTTAAAACTATGGAGATAATTAAAATAAATTAACTCAAAATGTGTTTACAACATGAAAAGTCTGGTGAACTAAGCCTATAATGTAGAGTTGCATAGAGTGAACAAACGGAAGCTGAAGCAGCTTGACAATTGGTCACTGCTTGTACCTGCAATTCCAGGCATTGATCTAGGATCTTCTTGTGGTGTTTCCAAGCCTTCTCCAAGTCATCTCGCTCTAGTCTGACAGCTTGAAGCTTTTTTTCAATGTCAGGGCTATTACGATGCCCACTGTCTATAAGTTCTGCACCAAAGTCTTCTAAGGCCTGGAAGGTGGGAGCCTCTGCCTGGATGTCAGCACGATGGTCCTGTGGCAAAACAGGAAAGAGATTAGAGGGGCCAATACCATTGAACATTCAAAAGTGAGTTGAATTTTTCAGGCCAAGTATTCAGTGGTTCCGGCTTTTGTATTCATACCCAGTGTCTCTCCAGCAAGATTTCAGTGCCAGTTAAGTCTTCGGCCAGCTCCTGTGATGATACCATGCCACCAATGTCACTGATCCAATTCTGTAGGTCCCTAGAGATACAGGCATAAAGGGATTGACAAGAAAAGCTTGCAACTTGCTACAGGGCTATCTATCCCACAATTTTCCCTCTCTAGAAAACATTTCCAGAATGACATCTTATATCCAGCCTTATATGCCTTATATATCTTATATTTGCTGTTTTTACTGTATCACTTAATGATAACCATTTCTTGCATTTGAAAAATATCTTCCCATACACTATCTGTTTCAATTCTTGCAGTAATCCTACAGAGAATTCTAGGAACTCTTTGGTTTCAATTGGCAATGAGTAAGTCAGCCGTGAGAAGGTAAGTAACTAGCTCACCTGATATAACTAAAAGCAGACAACTGGACTAGAACCCAGACCTCTGGAATCCTAGACCAGTGCATATTTAATTGCTCCTGTTGATTCTTGTTTCTTTTAAATAATTTCTAGGGTTTTAATACATTTTTTATCATGGAGTTTCAAGGAAGTCATGTCCCTCTTCATACTTTTGTTTTCAACAGAATCTAGCACATGCTTTTGCCCAACACACACCCACACAAACTCCATACTGTTGACTAAATCAAGGTCTACTTTCTACTCTTTGAGAAGCCAAGAAGTTAGACAAAGCAAACTAAAGTCTGTCTCCCAAAGGGCCAATGCCAAGTATGCATTAACCTGAAAGTGTACATACATGATGGTTAAATTAAGCATCTCATAAAAAATGTGCTCACTCGTTTGCTCAATAAAAATTGCTTAGCTCTAGGGAAGAGAGGTCTCTTCTTTTGTAAGTTGATTTATTCAAGCAACTTAGTTTTATTGAGTGCTTATTAAGTACCAAACATTGTGAAAATTTATTTGAGCCTTCTAGAAGCTTGCAATTTAGAACGAAAGAAAAAAAAAAAAAAGAAAACAGATCATAGGCACTAATAGCCATGCTAAAAACTGAAAACAAAAGTATCATAAAGAGGTAAAAGAGGTGTCAATGTTGCTCAAAGGCTGGAAACATTACTTCTGTGATAGTGAGGAGTAAGACTTCATAAAGGGAAGGAGGCAGCATTTACTCAGAAATGGGTATGAGGAATGGGTATGGTTGTAATTTATTTACACTGTACAAAAAAACTACAGCTTTCCAGAGATGCTGAATTGGAGAGGGGGCTGCCAAGACAAAATACCATGATGTGTCAAAATTTGCTTCCTTTTTTTCTTCAAAAGTATGACATTGAAAACTGCTGCTTCCTGGACCCTCAACTCTGATGTGCCTCCCAACTGACTAATATGATGGGAAGAATTTGGAAATTGTTTCACAATGTGTGCACCTGTGAGGTAAATTTTAAATTGTGGCAATGTCTGGACTCTAACTAGACATAAATATTTCCATAGGATTTGGTCCCAATACCTCT